AGGAAGACCTCCATGTCGAACTTGACCTTGATGAAGAAGCCCAGCTGCATGCGCAGGTGGGCATCGAGGTGCGTTCTCAAGGCGTAGAGCGACGTCACGGTCAGCAGCTGCTCGGGCGGCGGGTCCAGGGCGTACTGCCGGAGCCACCAGGACTCGGCCCTGTTGAGGCCCGTCTCGCGCACTCTGATGCCGGCCACGGCGCCGAGAAGAACAGCGGCCATGCTCTCAACTCTAGAAAATAATCTTTCCTAAGCGTGACATGAAAAGTCCCCGACGATGAACGCACTTGGACTGATCGTGCTTAGAGCTTCTCCTGCCGCTCTGTCTCAGGATTGCATGGTCGACTGCCATCATGCTCTGAAGTGGCTCGGCATGCTACGCCATGCAGACAAACGCAGCCAAGGCGGGCACCAGGCAACTCCGATGCAATTCCCTGGAGCCTACCGCGACGCGGCTTCTGAAGATGCGGACCTGAGCAAAGGGTCTAGGTTACGGACCGGGGCGCTCGAGTCTGCATGCAAGCGGTGCTGACAACTCTGTGAAAAGATTACGCGCAGATCCAAGAGCTTCCAAGCCTTTGCCCACAGTCGAGCATCAGAGACCTGAGCAACGCGGGTGAAGGAACTGTTCAAAGCACAAAGCAGCACGAGCGCGGAACGCACGCAGCCCGCATTTTTGCCTTCGGCGGTCGAGTTGCTATCGACGATAGCCACGAGCTGTACCTGTAACGCCTCGTGGCGTAAAGCATCGAACGGAGGCTCCCAAGTCGCTCTGACATTGGAACACAAACGCTCGAGCTTTTCAAGAATCCAGCTGGAGTCCCTCTAGAGGTGGACCGACCTGTACGCAGAGCTGGATCATGCACTAGCAGAAGCCAAGCGCAACTGCTGCCCAGAAAGCTGGAAAGGCTTCACACCAATCCTACTCCAAAACTTCAGAATGAGACCCTAAGCCTGTTCTGTAGTATGTCGTCTTTCTAGACAAAACGTGAAGCAGAGATAGGAAGTCAAGCACTGCCGCTCTCAGACGTCACCCGCTTCACTCGGCGGAGCAAAGACGTTACTGCTTCGGCCCGAAGAGACCGAGCTTGGGGATCCACGTGCTGGGAATCACCGAGGAGTCAGGAGAACCTTGCTCGTCCGGCTTCTCCTCACACCCCTCGACCTCAGCAACGTCTGCGAGCCCTGTGGTGCTCGAAACCTCCTCGCCCGCGTGCTGGGGGATCGCAGTGGACTCCTCCGCACCTCCCTCGGTCTTCTTCTCGCGTTGCGAGCAGGCCTTCAGGTCTTTCCTAGCCTCAGCGAGCTCTTTTTTCTCCACATCAACTTTCGCTTTCTTTGCTGCACGCTCCTCATCGCGCTGCTTCTTCTCCTCCGCCTTGCGTTTCTTCTTCTCTTCCATCTCGCGCTTCTTCTCATCCGCCTTGCGCTTTTTCTCCTCAGCCTTGCGATCATCAGCCTCGCGCTTCTCCTCGGGCGTCATCTTGTTGTCCTTGTCGGCCGATTGTCGCGGTCTCCGGGACGTCAAGAGCGTCGTCACATTGGCGAATCCAGCGGCGATAGCGCCCAAGATGGCATCCCCCTTCGCCAAGTTGGCATCCCCCTTGGCCTCGACGGCATTGCAAATCTCCTGGGTTTGCGTAGCGTTGGATGCATCCACATGCGCCATCACGCGACTGCCTTCGCTTGAGACGGTACTTTGAATGAAGTCGCGCTGCCTCTGTCGCTGCAGCCGCACCTGTCTCTGGCGATGCAGCAGTTGCTGCTCCTTGATCTTCAGCTCCTCTTTCTTCTCCTCGGTCAAGGGAAGCCCGCGTAAGGATTTGCCGCTTACGAGCTGCGAGCGCACGTCGTGAAGCGTTTTCTTCACAGCCGTCGACATCTCAAGAGTCCCAGGTACCGACCTCCTAGAGGGACGCTCTGCTTCGAATTTGAGCTGAAAGAGGCTTCGAGATTCGTGAACAGGTTGCTCAGACCAGGATGCGAACCCAGCCCGCTGCCAGACCAAAACACCCCAGCTGCACTCCAAGGACACCGCATTACCGCGGCTTGGCGGTTGAAAAGATGTAGCAACCTGAGCGGCAAAGAGGAGCGGGATAGCATGAACGCTCTAGTTACAGCACGAGGCTCCGGAGCGCTACACTCACAAACCATGCTCAAAGACGCGGAAGGCGAAACCCCAATCGAACCCGCAAAGTCAGAAAACCCTCCCTTCGAGGTTGGGACACGTGGAAGCGGGCGTTGATGACCTGAGCAAGGAACAGAAGTCACTACAGTTCGCGACTGGGGGTCACTACAGGTCACGACAGAGGTCACCACAAGGTCACTACGCCCACAAGCGCTCCCAAGCTCAAGCTGCTAGACACTGCAAGGTACAGACTCAAACCCCCACTCAAGAAACCCGGCGAAAGCCTTAAAATCCCTTAACAAGCATCTGAGGTTGTGCGCTTTGAAGATGATGAAGACGGCGATGACCTGGGAAGCAGAAGAAGCGAGGTGTAGTGCGAACGAGTACGAAGTTTAACTGCAAACCGTCACTACCCAATAAACACCGATCAAGTTACGCAGCGTCCACTTACCCTTCAACAGCTGCCTTTTGCCGTCGGCTGGTTCATCTGAGCAGGAACGCTCTCTGGCAATCCCGCAACACTCACTGACGGCGGTCTGGCTTCATCAAGTCAGCCAATGCTCGGCTCAGATCTAGTGGCTCAGCGACAATGCCCAACTTCCGACTGTAGTGAGCACCCAGGTCGCGGAGCAAGTACACCTCGCCGGTGTATTCAGTATCATTCCACAAGCGAAGCACAACCAAGCCTGGCGGCTCGTGCACTTGCCCACTCAGCCGACCATACAACAATGATTGCGACACTTCTGGAAAAGATACATTGAGAGGGAACTCCAGCGAGATGTTTTCGTGGGCAGCAAAAGCCTGCCACATCAGCGGGTTTTTCGCCAAAAACTTGTTGATGCCGCTGTTGCTGTAAGGGATGGATGGTAGACGCGTTGTTTGCAGAAATGCCGCAAAATCACTGAACATCTTCTCCAACCAGAATCTTGAACTCACTGACAAGTATTTGAGCTGGAGCAATCTATATTTGGTAGCAGCCTCGGTAGCAGCCTCCCTCTGGGCAAGCTCCAGGGCAACTCGTGTGACGTTCGCATCATACCCGTTTACATTGAGCATACTTTGCGCCATTGTCACAAACCTGTCGACACAAGCAGCGTTGCGGCTCTGCAGCTTGTAGCGTCTGACATGCGTCTTCATCCCCACGAAAGCGTGGAAGTCCACGAGCGCCACCACACAGACAGTGGCAAAGGAACGACGCACCATGTTCCGCAACCTGTACATTGACAGCGCGCTGTTGGCAAGAGATGCCTACGGATCACAGTGTGAGCAAGCCCTTCTCAATTGGGCAAAGAGCCATGGAAACTGGCACTTGCCAAATGGCGCGCCTTCATAAGGACGTAGCTGATGCAGAGGAAGCACGCAAGCACTCTGAGGTTCCAGCGAAACGCCAAATTTGCTTCCCACCCGCCCCTACAGATGCCGCGTCTACAACATCGCCGTGCTCACTCAATGTTGCTACGTGTTGCAAGCTGCCTACCGTAAAGTGTTGTTGCCTGAGATCTGTTGAACCGCGGCGCGGAACGCAGAACTTCAACACCAGCAATGTGGGTACGCGGGAAGGGGACCTAAGGGTTAGGGATGCAAGGCACGCAGGGCAGCTGGGGATCAAACCTACTGCGGGTCGAAGGGGTTAGGGTACTCTCAACCAACCCAAAAAAGAAGCAAACCCTGCAAAAAGCACTCTAGCAAAAAATGTTACTGCAAAAGTCGGCGGGCCTAGCAAGAATACTGTTACGAAATGAAAAAACACCATCGCCGAGCAAAAGGCGAGCAAGACGAGCATCAGCGAGCATCCTAAACCCCCACGGTCGAAAAGGCGAGCAAGACGAGCATCTGCGAACATCCTAAAGCCCCACCGTCGAAAACGGACACTGCAGACCGCCCGGCTCCTTCAACATGAGATCGGTGACTTCCAGCAAGAGACCGCACTGACCCGACATGAGCCAGACCTGCCGCAACTCGCACCTCACCTTGCATTCCCGACCGGCGAGATCACCCGGTCCCTCGAGCTTCTCGCCCTTCGGACCCCAGATCCGCACTCTATCCCAGTCCATCTTGGTCTTCAGAAAAGCTTCGCAGCGAGCGTTCGTCTTCAAGCACGAAAGGAAGCGCTCCTTGACTTCCGTTTCCGTCTGAGGCTTGCCGAAAAGCCTGCTATCCTTTGTCGACAGCGCCGCCAGGCTGCGGACGAGGTGTTCCTCGACCCCGCAGAAGAGTGCTTTGACACCCTCGCAGGCTTCGAGGCTGAGCGACACCCGTCGGGCGTCGGGATCGTTGAACCCGCTCGGGTGCCAGAGGATCTTGAGCCACTCGGCGGACGACCACTCAAGCGCGCGTACGCCCGTGCCACGCAAAGGGAAGAACTTCCCTCCCTTCTTGTTGAAGGACAGATCGCCGAGCTCAACTGCCAGGGTTGGCTTACCGCTCATGCTTCTTTTTTTCCCGAATAAAAAAAAATGTCGTTCGCTGAACGAGTCGCGACGCCTACGGCCTCGGGAGAGTGCCTTTGCGCGCTGATCGCTCTGGTGGGCGTCATCGCGGCCATGTGGCTTTTGTCGTCGCCCTGGGAAAAACATGAGACTGCTGGAGTTGTTCTCCGGCACGAAGAGCATCGGCCGCGCCTTCGAGGCCCTTGGCTGGCAGGTTACGAGTCTTGACTCCGACCCGCAGAGCCAACCCACCATCTGCGAGGGCGTTCTGAAATGGGATTACGGAGCCTTCCAGCCCGGACACTTCGACCTCGTCTGGGCCAGCCCGGTGTGCACCGAGTTCTCTCGGGCTATGACGCGCCGACCCCGCCGGCTGGAGGAGGGCGACAGCCTGGTGCTTCGAACCGTCGAAATCATTGGCTACCTACGCCCGCGGTGGTGGGCCATCGAAAACCCCAGGAGCGGGCTGCTGAAAACCCGCAGCTTCATGAAAGACCTGCCCTTCGATGACGTGACCTATTGCCAGTATGGCTATCGCTATCGGAAAGCGACACGCATCTGGAACAACCTGCCCTGGCGCCCCAGTCGACCCGTGTGCTGCAAGGCTCGCCGTTGCGGGGCCTTCAACAACGGTCGCCACGCCGAGACTGCACAACGCCTGGGCAGCAAAGAACGAATCGGCCAGAACCGTGATCAGCTATACTCCATCCCGCCTCGGCTGTGCGAGGAGATCGCCGCGAGCGTAAATGCGCCTGTACGAGTGCTACAAAGCGCTGTGGAGTAAAACGCTCAATGGGGAAAGTGAAACTGTTTCCCACCCCCGAGTTCACCTCAAAACAGCCACGCGATCCGATCGTTCCCCGCGTGCCGTGCACTGGCATCTTCCTCGGGCCCTCGAAATCGGGGAAGACAGTGGCTCTCATCAGCGCCATCCTGGACCAGTACCGCACGGCCAGCGGTGAATCCGTTTTTGAAAGAGTGATAATCATGAGTCCCAGCATTGACATTGACGATGCCTGGAAGCCCGTGAAGCACTTCATCGAGCACGACATGGGCGTCAACACGGACCGGGAGCAGGTCTATTTCGACAAATGGGACGAGGGAGCCCTGCGTGGCATCATCGAAAAGCAGAAGGCAATCACCCGAAAAACGAAGGAATTAGGCTTCAAAAAGCTGTACCAAATCCTTATCGTGATCGACGATTTCGCGGACCAACCGGAGCTCCACCGCCGCACTGGCGACGGGGCGCTGGACACGCTCTTCATCCGCGGCCGCCACATGCAAATTTCGACCTGGGTATCCAGCCAGAAACTGCGCCTCATCAGCGCCGCCGTCCGGGTGAA